AGCCGCACCTGGGTGGCGCTGCGGCTCAAAGGGCATCTGTGGAGTGAGCGGGGTTCCTCCGGAGGTGGGGTCCCGTGGCCTGGTGGAATTGTTTGCACGGCCCTGCAAGGAATCGGGCTCCCTCCTCTTTGGTTCCGGGGTGCATCACCCAAGAACCTCTTCTGCCAAGTCACTGCAGCTCAGCAGCTCCTGCGTTGAGCGTCTGCCCCCTGATGGTCAGTGCGCATCATACCTACTGGACCGTCCGTCGGTTGCTTAGTCTTTTATCTACACTAATAATAGACAAATATGTAAATTGACCATACCTCCATGACGCCCACACAGCCAATCAGGAGGGAATATGCAAATTAGCAGGACAAAGATGGCAGTGGCCATGGAGCCAGCCAGAGCAGACAGGAGGCTAGGGTCGCCCCCAGCGATGGAGGAAACCAAGCTTCCTACCTGCCTGGGCCAGCCACCGAAGGATGAGCCTGTGGGCTGCGGCCAAAGAGCAGGCTGGAGCCAGTGGGAGGCTTGGGTCGCCCCCAGCGGTGGAGGAAGCTTGGCTTCTTCCATTGCTGGGGGCGACCCAAACTTCCTGCCGGCCCTGGCTGGCCGCTGAAGGAGGGGCCTGTGGGCAGTGGCCACAGAGCCGGCCAGAGCATGCAGGAGGCTTGCGTCGCCCTGGCTGGCCACCGAAGGAGGGGCCTGCAAATGGCCCTCAGCCCCTCACCCAGGCTGGCCACACCACCATCGGGGTGAGGGTCCCCACTGGGGGGCGTGGCCAGCCTGAAAACAGCCCTCAGCCTTTTACCCAGGCTGGCCACGCCCCCATGGGGTGAGGGTCCCCGCTGGGGGGCATGGCCAGCCTGCAAACAGCCATCAGCCCCTCACCCAGGCTGGCCAGGCACCCCAGCAGGGACCCCCCCTTGAAGGGGGGTGTGGCCAGCCTGAAAACGGCCCTCAGCCCCTCAACCAGGCTGGCCACACCCCCCCCAGCGGGGACCCTCACCCCCATGGGGGTGTGGCTGGCCCTGCAGACTGCCCCAGCCCCTTGTCCAGGCCAGCACCATCCCTAGTGGGGACCCCCACCCCCAATGGGAGCATGGTCGGCCTGAAAACCACCACAGGCCCCTCGCCCAGGCTGCCCCGTCCCCCCAAGGGAACCCCCACCCTGATCCGGGACACCCTTCAGGGCAAACCAGCCAGCCCCAACCCGTGCACCAGTCCTCTATCTAAACTAATAAAAGGGTAATATGCTAATTAGACAGGGAGACCTTCCAGGAGATCTTCCGGACATTCTTCTGGACAAAGCCATGGTGGCGGGGCCGAGGTAGAGGCAGTTAGGGGCCAAGAGGGGAAGGCAGTTGTGGGTGATCAGGCCAGTGGGGAGGGCAGTTGGGGCGA